CCCCCCCCCCCCCCCCCCCCCCCCCCCCCCCCCCCCCCCCAGAACCGGGGCTGCCCCCCACCTATGTAGGTGTTGCCGTTCTTCTCGTTGGGGTAGGAGAAGTCGTGCAGGTCCCACGTCTCCCGCTGCAGCATGTAATTGGTACCTGCAACGGTGGTCAGCCCTCCTTGCACACCTGTACACAGCCTGCAAGCTGGTGCACATGGCAGGATGCACGCACCAGAACACACAGCTGTTTGCATGCATGCAGTCTCACCACACGGAGGTGTCATCATGCACCAGAACACGCACACGCCTGCATCTTACCCAGCACCTCGCCCTACCAAAGTGCACAGATGCATCAGGCCATGCACGTCTGCACCCTTACATCTCCTCGTGCAACGCCCCACTGTGCAGAAGTGCACATCTGTGCACCACAGCACACCTGTCTGCGTGCTTGTGCAATGTCTTCACCTACAGGAGTGCATGCATACGAAACAACACGCACCCTTACATGCTTGCATGCTTCTTACCATCCGTAAGCGCGCACACATGGACGCGTTTGCATGCACATGCAACGTCTCACCATACAAAAGTGCTCTGGGACACGGACATTTGCACGCTTGTGCAATATCTTACAATACAAGAAGTGCACAAATGTGCACCAGAGCACACCTGCAGGCACGCCTGCGCAGTGTCATCCCGCACAAAAGCACATGCATCAGCCCATGCACACGTTTGCACACACGTGCAATGCCTTCAGCACCCAGAAATGCACACCTGCACCCTCATGCAACGCCTCACCATCACCATCCAGGAGTGCATGCAGGCAGCAGAGTGCATGCATCTGCACAGCTGCACATCTGAGCACAAAGAACGCACGTGGGCATGCACACCTTGCTGCCTGCACTGCACAGAACCCGCATGCACCAGCCCAAGCCTGCATGCTTGCACAAGACCCCGCCATGCAGCCGTGCTGAGCCACCCGCAGCACCTCGCAGTGCAGAACACACACTCAGCATCCACACAGCAACACCACACAGGGCTCAAGGAGGAGCATCACAACCCCCCCTCCCCACCCCATACCCACCCTGCCAATTATAGGCTCCAGGTGCCCCAAAATAGATGATGTTGGCAGTGAAGCCAGCGCTGGCACCCATCTGGCACATGCCGGTCTCTTCGGCGTCCATGTTGGAGTTGCACATCTCGTTGTGGTACGTCTGCCATTCGTCGCTCAGATCCAAGCTGAGGTCGTTGCCCCGAACGTAGCAGCGTCCAACCATGCGCCGTTGGTCCTCGCTGCCCGACCACAGCACTTTGGTGTAACGGTGAGCACACGCCTGCAAGGACAGCCCAGGGATGAAGGGTCCCCATCCACCCCCCATCCACCACCCTCCACCCCCCATCCACCCTCACTCTCATCCAGGGTGACCCCACAAGGCAGATAGGGGGGGTGACCCTGCAGCCCTGGGATGAAGCGTTCCCCCCCCCTCCTCACCTCCTACCCATCTAGGGTGACCCCACAAGGCAGATATGGGGGGGGGGGGGTGACTCTGCTGCTCGCCCCCAACAGGAGGGCATCAGCCTTGCAAACTACAACTCCCAGCATGCATTGCTGCTGCCAGCCCTCAGCGCCTCCCTCCTCCCCCCTCCCCAATGCATGCTGGGGGCTGTAGTTTGAGCCCATTTCTCCCCTCCATTCCCCTCGGTGCAACAGCAACCCCAGGGGGGCAGTGCACAACAGCTTCCCTCCCCCAACCCCAGCACCCAGGTGTAGAGACCCCCAGTTCAGGGGGGGGTCACAGCTCTTTCTCCCCCCTTCCAGCACCAATAGGTCAGACCCTCATACCCCATATCTCACCATGGGGGGCACTTATGCAAAGAACTGCAGTGTAGGAGTGCAAGGGACTGCGGTGCACACATGCTGTAGTGCAAGCGTGCAAGGAGCCATGATGCATGTGTGCAAAGAACTGACACGTGCAAGGAGCCACGATGCACGTGTGCAAAGTGCTGCACTGCACATGTGCAAGGAGGAACCATTGTGCACGTGCCCAAGGGCTCGTGGTGCACACGTGCAAAGAGCCACACTGCACATGTGCAAGGCGCTGCAGGGCAGACGTGCAAGGACCCGTGGTGCATGTGTCCAAGGAACTGCAGTGCGTGCATGCAAGGAGCTATGGTGCACATGTGCAAGGAGCCGTGTGTGTGTGTGTGTGTGTGTGTGTGTGCACTCACCAGCACCCTGCCAGCTGGCTGCCGTTGGCTGGCCACCGTCACCCCCAACCACATGTCCTCAATGATGTACTTGTCGGGCTCACCTGGGAGAACAAGATGTGAAGGTGGGGGGGGGG